TTCGGCGGAACCTCGTCCGGGTTCCTTTCTGCTCAAAGGCAGAAAGTTCGACCGTCAAGTCGAGAAGCTCGGCTTGAATCGGACAAGAGAAACACACACACACACACACGCATACACACACAGACAAACATACACACTCGCACACACACACATGCACACAGAGAGAGAGAGAGAGAGAGAGAGAGGGGGAGAGAGAGAGAGTAATCTTGACGAATTTGTGCGAATGGGTAACAGAACAGCGTCAAAGAGGTTTGATAATAAGTCAAAACTTACTTTGAAAAGCAAAAGATAGAAGCTGTGAAGAGTCATAATTGCCAACTTGCACATTAAAGAAGAACACAAGCCATGATGTATTTTGTTTTCATGTATTGTGCATGATAGTCTCCCTCGCAAGTATTTTTTTTTATTGGGTGTAGTTGCTACTTCCACGCCCAACCGGTTTTGAATTCAAACTTGTACTTCTCCTAGACCGGTTGCCAACCAAGGGTAGTGAGCCTAATCTGCCCTGCTATTAATACTTGGCTTAAAAGATGGATTCATGCCTTTGCCAAGTGTATTTTTGCGAAAGCGAATGCCACGGTCTCGGCCGGAATTTGAACACGGCATCCTGATCCCAATTTGCGAGTTGATAACCGCTGCACTACACGCATATTGTCTATGATAGACGGTGCCAGATATTTATGCCAGAGTATATAACAGTGTCTTGAAAAAGTAATCAGGTATTTTAGCCAGGTGATATGAAAAAAGGCTTGAAAAATAACCAGAAGAATCTAATACCCATGAAACAAGGTAAGCAGAGAGATACAATGAGTATGACTGATTGATTTGTTTATTTATCGGTATATCAACACTTTGTGGGTCATTTAATGCTGAAATGTAATTTTCTTGAGAGCTTTGAAGTCATTTGATAATTTTACTATAAATATGTATTGTCGGTAATTTTTTTTTAATTGAAAAAAGTATTGCTGGTATTTTTACTATACAAATATATTTTTTTATACTTTCATAGTGTTTTGTTTCTGTTTGGGGGTTCGCTGTTTACCCATAGCTGGGACCCCGCTAACAGGTACTACCGCCCCGGGTCAAGGTGGACCTGGAAAAAACAGCAATTTAGAGGTTGTTTGACGCTGCCCAAAACTTTCTATCTTCCGATCAAAGGCAGACATACTTAAGATCGTTAATTTACTTTCCTACTTAATGGACAATTGTTATACCATAATACCTATTCTATTGTAATAGACTCTCCCACAGATAATAAGTAGTAGTAGCTGGGGCCAGTTGGGCTCAGTGGTGTTGAGCGAGTCAGTCGATGTCGGACATTGAAGTATCAACCATCACAACTAGATTGCTGTGTCATTAACTCTTATTTCAAGTTCCTAACGTTTTGTACGTCGAACCTTTTTTAGGACCGACTTAGTGAAATACAAGCCTCCACTGTGAAAACTACTCTACAACAATAATAAAACATGCATCAAAAAGGTTTGTTAAAACGGCAAAACTTACTTTGAAAAGTAAAAAAAAAGAGAAGCTGTGGAGAGTCATAATCGTTAATTCACTAGGTGATTTTTACTTAAGTGGCACCAAAATTGATGAAGACAATGTCTGCAATTACTGTGTCCCAAAAAAACACAGATGTTGGTTATATACCTGAACAATTGATTAATTGATTGATTTTCACGGCATATCAATCTTCCAAAATCGTTTTGGAGTTAAAGGTTAAGACTAAAATGAATAAATAGATTAAAATAAAGTTTGGTAAGTGAAAAGATTTTTCTTATTGAGATTAGAGTAATTTTTAAAGAAATAATGGCTCTTTTAAATTCATTAATCCGACATATTTGTATCAGTTTTAACGTTATTTTTATTGGATACCCATAATTAAGTAGACGCTCCGTTTTCTTTTAAACGGTATTTTAGTTCGTCTAGCGGCTTCAATCCTATTAAAGAAAAATGCAACCACAGGTAGGATACAAACCTGCGCAAGGATGCATTTTTGTTTAATCAGATTTCTCAAATATTCAGACCGGTAAATGAAATGAAAATACTGTTTAAAATAAACAGAACATTTACTCAAATATGAGCTTCCACTAAAAATAACGTTTATAGGGATTAGATAATTGCGTAAACTGTATATTTTGAAATTTTGAATTTAGGAATTTGTATAAATTAGATATATCATATGAAGTTCTGTAGCTCTTTGCGCTTAAATGTTTTTTTTTTCTAATTACAAGAACGACGCTGAAGCGTCTATTTTAACCCATAATAATAATCGTTTCTGCGAATAGCCCATCTACGAATAACTATTTCTACGTCACTACCTCGGATCAAACTTTGTCAAAAGGATACTACTCACAGATGAGTCTGCACCCGACACGTATCGATGGATAGCAGGAAGTATTAATAGACCTATGTTGTCGTGAAATACGCAAAAGCTTTCAATAAGGTTCGACAAATAACATATTTGAGCTGCGATGAAAAATGTGGTCTCCTCTATAGCATTATCCTCGGACCTATGTAGTTTATCTTCATCAACGACCTTTCGATGTCATCAGTTCCCAAATAGGTATTGATTGATGACGATGACACGACTATTTACTTCAATTTTAACAGTAAGCTAGACAAGTCTGACAAAGTAAAAATAGCAGCTATCCTCCAAAATGTCCTCCAATCAGTTGTTAACTGGGGCAAGAAATGTTTTCTAAATCGTAACAGAATATCTGAAAGAAAGTTTAATTGATTGATTCGTTTTCTACGGCTTATCAAACCTTTGAAGGTTATTTAAAACCCAAAAATATTTCACTTAATGCTGTTTTACAAGACTTACTAATTAACCCATAGCTGGAGGAGAAAGCGGTGATTTTATATCTTTTCCAACAAGATTTTCGAGGAAGTTAATATAACGAAACCAATTGGAATTAGAACTAGTCTCTCCGATTAAAAACTCCGAGCGATTTACACCACCCGCACATCCAAG